TCAAAAATCATGTTAAACACTATTATTGCACACAGAGTGAGTCTATGCAAGTTGTGACTCGTTAAGCAAAATGTATTCCAGAACTTATTTAGGCTTGCCATAACAAAGGGGTTGAATACTTATTTCAGCTTTTCATTTTTAAATTCATTTGTTTAAAAAAATCTAAAAACATAATTCCACGTTGACATTATGGGGTATTGTGTGTAGACCAGTGACACAATCTCAATGTAATCTATTTTAAATTCAGGCTGTAACAACGGGTGTGAATACTTTCTGAAGGCACTGTATCAATATCACGTACATAATTCATTAACAGTTGTCAGTGCAGTATCTCCCAGCTATGAGCCATACAGTGGGGAAAAAAAGTATTTAGTCAGCTACCAATTGTGCAAGTTCTCCCAATTAAAAAGATGAGAGAGGCCTGTAATATTCAGCATAGGTACATGTCAACTATGACAGACAAAATGAGAGAAAAAAATCCAGAAAATCACATGTAGGATTTTTAATGAATTTATTTGCAAATTATGGTGGAAAATAAGTATTTGGTCAATAACAAAAGTTTCTCAATACTTTGTTATATACCCTTTGTTGGCAATGACACAGGTCAAACGTTTTCTGTAAGTCTTCACAAGGTTTTCACACACTGTTGCTGGTATTTTGGCCCATTTCTCCATGCAGATCTCCTCTAGAGCAGTGATGTTTTGGGGCTGTCGCTGGGCAACAGACTTTCAACTCCCTCCAAAGATTTTCTATGGGGTTGAGATCTGGAGACTGGCTAGGCCACTCCAGGACCTTGAAATGCTTCTTCCGAAGCCACTCCTTCGTTGTGTTTGGGATCATTGTCATGCTGAAAGACCCAGCCACGTTTCATATTCAATGCCCTTGCTGATGGAAGGAGGTTTTCACTCAAAATCTCACGAGACATGGCCCCATTCATTCTTTCCTTTACACGGATCAGTCGTCCTGGTCCCTTTGCAGAAAAACAGCCCCAAAGCATGATGTTTCCACCCCCATGCTTCACAGTAGGTATGGTGTTCTTTGGATGCAACTCAGCATTCTTTGTCCTCCAAACACGACAAGTTGAGTTTTTACCAAAAAGTTCGAATTTGGTTTCATCTGACCATATGACATTCTCCCAATCCTCTTCTGGATCATCCAAATGCACTCTAGAAAACTTCAGACGGGCCTGGACATGTACTGGCTTAAGCAGGGGGACACGTCTCGCACTGCAGGATTTGAGTCCCTGGCGGCGTAGTGTGTTACTGATGGTAGGCTTTGTTACTTTGGTCCCAGCTCTGCAGGTCATTCACTAGGTCCCCCCGTGTGGTTCTGGGATTTTTGCTCACCGTTCTTGTGATCATTTTGACCCCACGGGGTGAGATCTTGCGTGGAGCCCCAGATCGAGGGAGATTATCAGTGGTCTTGTATGTCTTCCATTTCCTAATAATTGCTCCCACAGTTGATTTCTTCAAACCAAGCTGCTTACCTATTGCAGATTCAGTCTTCCCAGCCTGGTGCAGGTCTACAATTTTGTTTCTGGTGTCCTTTGACAGCTCTTTGGTCTTGGCCATAGTGGAGTTTGGAGTGTGACTGTTTGAGGTTGTGGACAGGTGTCTTTTTTTATACTGATAACAAGTTCAAACAGGTGCCAGTAATACAGGTAACGAGTGGAGGACAGAGGAGCCTCTTAAAGAAGTTGTTACAGGTCTGTGAGAGCCAGAAATCTTGCTTGTTTGTAGGTGACCAAATACTTATTTTCCACCATAATTTGCAAATAAATTCATTAAAAATCCTACAATGTGATTTTCTGGATATTTTTTTCTCATTCTGTCTGTCATGGTTGACGTGTACCTTTGATGAAAATTACAGGCCTCTCTCATCTTTTTAAGTGGGAGAACTTGCACAATTGGTGGCTGACTAAATACTTTTTTTCCCCACTGTATCTATCTTTGCTAATTTAGGTTTCTCTCTAATTTGTTTGTTTATGAGATATGTGTGCTTTGTGCCGATAGGGCAGGCTGTCTATTGTTGCAGAAGGGCAGGGGTCTCTGCCTCCAGGGAAATAATAATATAATAACTGAAAAGAAGCCTGTGCCCCCAACCCCACCCTTCTGCTCATCTGCTGGAGGAGTCTACCCTGTTGTGGGGGTTGGAGGAGCCTGCCCTGCTGGAGGAGTCTACCCTGTTGTGGGGGTTGGAGGAGTCTGCCCTGCTGCAGGAGTCTGCCCTGTTGTGGAGGTTGGAGGAGCCTGCCCTGCTGCAGGAGTCTGCCCTGTTGTGGGGGTTGGAGGAGCCTGCCCTGCTGGAGGAGTCTGCCCTGTTGTGGGGGTTGGAGGAGTCTGCCCTGCTGCAGGAGTCTGCCCTGTTGTGGGGGTTGGAGGAGTCTGCCCTGCTGCAGGAGTCTGCCCTGTTGTGGGGGTTGGAGGAGCCTGCCCTGCTGCAGGAGTCTGCCCTGTTGTGGGGGTTGGAGGAGCCTGCCCTGCTGCAGGAGTCTGCCCTGTTGTGGGGGTTGGAGGAGTCTGCCCTGCTGCAGGAGTCTGCCCTGTTGTGGGGGTTGGAGGAGCCTGCCCTGCTGGAGGAGTCTACCCTGTTGTGGGGGTTGGAGGAGTCTGCCCTGCTGGAGGAGTCTACCCTGTTGTGGGGGTTGGAGGAGCCTGCCCTGCTGGAGGAGTCTACCCTGTTGTGGGGGTTGGAGGAGTCTGCCCTGCTGGAGGAGTTTGCCCTGTTGTGGGGGTTGGAGGAGTCTGCCCTGCTGCAGGAGTCTGCCCTGTTGTGGGGGTTGGAGGAGTCTGCCCTGCTGCAGGAGTCTGCCCTGTTGTGGGGGTTGGAGGAGTCTGCCCTGCTGCAGGAGTCTGTCCTGTTGTGTGGGTTGGAGGAGTCTGCCCTGCTGCAGGAGTCTGCCCTGTTGTGGGGGTTGGAGGAGTCTGCCCTGCTGCAGGAGTCTGCCCTGTTGTGGGGGTTGGAGGAGTCTGCCCTGCTGCAGGAGTCTGCCCTGTTGTGGGGGTTGGAGGAGTCTGCCCTGCTGCAGGAGTCTGCCCTGTTGTGGGGGTTGGAGGAGTCTGCCCTGCTGCAGGAGTCTGCCCTGTTGTGGGGGTTGGAGGAGTCTGCCCTGCTGCAGGAGTCTGCCCTGTTGTGGGGGTTGGAGGAGTCTGCCCTGCTGGAGGAATCTGCCCTGCTGTGGGGGTTAGAGGAGTGCCTTGTCTGTATTTGAGAATGAAGCTGGAATCCTTAATGGTGAAACTGGCGCGTCCGTTTGGGATATTACAACAACGAAGAAGTTACTGAAAACAACAAACTTTTTTCCCCCTCCTCGGACACCAATAGTAATGGCGTCTTTTTGTACGCACTAACTCACGCTATGGAGTTGTCTCGTTGGCCAAAGCCTATGGGCAAATTAATAGGCTTAAGTTATGTTTTTTTTGGTGTGGTTTTTGGATAAACACAGAAAAATAAGGTCTGTGGTAAACAGGCTTAGGAGATCTTATACGTTTTTGTTTTTATGAAAATATTTTTGTGAATTTTGATGCATTTATGTAATCAAAACAAGCACATAAAGGCTTCAAAATTCATAAAGGTCATGCTAACTGATTTATATTATCTCATAGAACAAAATGTATGAGATCTCCTAAGCCTGTGTGAACCTCAGACCTTATTTTCGGTGTTTATCCCAAAACCCAATTTTCCCCATCCATTTCCTCCATAGGAATGGCTGAACAAACCAGAGGTAACTCATTTCTGTTTTTTAGGACTACAAGCTGGCGAGTGTGAAGTAGGCTAACCCCCTAAGGTCAACGTCTGCGCCCCTGCGGGAATCTAATTAGCATAATAATAAAATCCCCATAAAAATCCATAAATTTAATTGCGCCTACGTCGCACTTCCGCATCTGCGATGGAAGATGACAGAGCTAGAGCGGTGTGTGTCAGACCATGAGGTGTTCCCAAAATCGCTCTTCTCACAAAATCGTGTGTAGTGTCCGAACGGTTTGGCATACAAGCTATTATGACCCCTCTATGGAAAGATAAGACTCTCACGAACACGGTGGTGTTCTCTATTTTGGGACTCTCAGTCTTTTTAAAATGTTCATAATGGAAGTTTGATATAAATGGAAATGGTTGACAGTTAGACCATCTACATGATCACATAGGCCTATCTGATTGACCCTTTAGAAAGAAGACACAGGTGATACTCCCTGGATAAAGCCTTGACCATTTTATGTTGATTTGTTGTCTTTGTATAGGCATTCGACCCCCGATTCTGAATGGCCCGATGCACCCGCGCCCCCTTGTGGCACTGTTGGATGGTCGCGACTGCACTGTGGAGATGCCTGTCCTGAAGGATGTGGCCACTGTGGCCTTTTGTGACGCCCAGTCCACCCAGGAGATCCATGAGAAGGTAACCAACCTCAAAGTATCTGGTTCTCCTCTTAAGTATCTGTCTGCACTTTTTAGGGAGGGAAATGGATTCTTCGTGAACGTGTCTGCTATTTTTGTGGTGGGGTTTATTTCCAACGCAATAGAGTTAGGGAAAGTCTCTGCTCTTTTAGTGCAATGGTAGAATAAGGATACCGATTGAATAGCCTTTTCTGAACACTCACCAGTGATCGGGATATTGTTTTTGACGATATATTGTATCGTTCTGACAATATCGCAATATTATTTTGCGCTAGTTGGCTGTACATGCACCAATACTCCAGTATTTTTCCTTCATAGCTTGTTCTCCATATTCTTTTTAAATAGGGAGCCAATTTGTTTTCAGCACTTATTTCCATGACTGATCAAAACTTGTTTTCTCATGGCTCTCTCTTGTCCCTCTGCAGCAGACATATGGTGAGCAATATGTTTGGAACATCGAATCGCAATAAAATCACAGTATCGAATCACAATACGTATAGAATCGCAATACATATCGTATCGGCACCAAAGTATCGCAATAATATCGTATCGTGATATTATTAGCCCTACCACTCGTCCATTCTCTCCCTGGTGCTTCAGGTGCTGAATGAGGCAGTGGGTGCCCTGATGTACCACACCATCACCCTGTCGCGGGACGACCTGGACAAGTTCAAGGGACTGCGGATCATCGTGCGAATCGGCAGTGGCTTTGACAACGTGGACATCAAGGCTGCGGCTGAACTAGGTTGGCTACTGGGTCATTACTTTGCTTCACCTCTCTCTTTCTCCTACCCCTCAAGTCTTACCTACTACATCAATCCATCCATCCATCTGTCCACCCACCCATCCACCCACCCACCCATCCATCCATCCACCCATCCATCCATCCACCCACCCACCCATCCATCCATCCACCCACCCATCCATCCACCCACCCACCCACCCACCCACCCACCCACCCACCCATCCATCCGTCCATCCATCCATCCATCTGTCCACCCATCTGTCCACCCATCCCTCCATCCATCCATCTGTCCATCCACCCACCCACCCACCCACCCACCCACCCACCCACCCATCCATCCGTCCATCCATCCATCCATCTGTCCACCCATCTGTCCACCCATCCCTCCATCCATCCATCTGTCCATCCACCCACCCACCCACCCATCCATCCATCCATCCATCCATCCATCCATCCATCCATCCATCCATCCATCCATCCATCCATCTGTCCATCCATCCATCCATCCATCCGTCCACCCACCCATCCATCCATCCATCCATCCACCCACCCACCCACCCACCCACCCATCCATCCATCCATCCATCCATCCATCCATCCACCTTTAATATGTGTGATAACTAACCGCTGTCTCCTCTGTGCTCTGTCGTCCTCAGGTATAGCTGTGTGTAATGTGCCTGCTACATCTGTGGAAGAGACGGCGGACACCTCCATGTGTCTGATCCTGAACCTGTACCGCCGCGTCACCTGGATGCACCAGGCTATGAGAGAGGGCACCAGGGCTTCCAGCGTGGAGCAGATCAGGGAGGTGGCCAGTGGAGCTGCCCGCATCCGGGGAGAGACGCTGGGCATCATCGGCCTGGGTGAGGAGGGAAATGGATCTTGTCTTAGCAAGGGCTCTCCGCAAGTGCAGTCACAAAGGACATTATACACTGAGTATACAAAACATTAAGGACACCTGCTCTTTCCATGACATAGACTGACCAGGTGAATGCTATGATCCCTTATTGATGTACTTGTTAAATCCACTTCAATCAGTGTAGATGAAGGGGAGAAGACAGGTTTACGTATGGGTGGTCCTCTGTAGCTCAATTGGTAGAGCATGGCGCTTGTAACGCCAGGGTAGTGGGTTCGATCCCCGGGACCACCCATACGTAAAAATGTATGCACACTTGACTGTAAATCGCTCTGGATAAAAGCGTCTGCTAAATGGCATATTATTTATTATTATAAAGAAGGATTTTTAAGCCTTGAGACAATTGAGACATGGATTGTGTATGTGTGCCATTCAGAGGGTGAATGGGCAAGACAAAATATTTAAGTGCCTTTGAAAACGGTATGGTAGTAGGTGCCAGGCGCACCGGTTTATTTCAAGAACTGCAATGCTGCTGGATTTTTCACGCTCAACAGTTTCTCGTGTGTATCAAGAATGGTCCACCACCCAAAGAACATCTTGACACAACTGTGGGAAGCATTGGAGTCAACATGGGCCAGCATCCCTGTGGAACGCTTTCAACACCTTATGGGTCCAAGTCCCGATGAATTGAGGGTGTTCTGAGGGCAAAAGGGGGTGCAACTCAATATTAGGAAGGTGTTCCTAATGTTTTATATACTCAGTGTATGTTAATTGAAGTTATCCTGTTGCTGAGTATATTTTTTAATAGTAACTATAATGGGTGTCGTCACAGGTCATTTCAATGTATATTTCAAGCAAATCATTTTAGTTTTCTCAGAGTTAGTGAGCGGTTCCTCTCACAGCTATTACATCCTCCAGTCTGAACATACAGTGTCTGTGTTTGTTCCACAGGGCGAGTGGGCCAGGCTGTAGCGCTGCGGGCCAAGGCCTTTGGCTTCAGTGTGATCTTCTACGACCCCTACCTGCCAGACGGAGTGGAGCGCTCTCTGGGCCTGCAGAGAATGGCCACCCTGCAGGACCTGCTCATCCACTCTGACTGTGTGTCACTGCACTGCAGCCTCAACGAGCACAACCATCACCTCATCAACGACTTCACCATTAAACAGGTATAAGACTGTCACACACACACACACACACACACACACACAGGTGTGTGCCACCAACAACACCCCCCATTATCAATGATTTCACTCTCAAACTCCATGAACAAGTCACCCCTCATAACCTCATGACTGTATCTCCGTTCTCCCCAGTAATGTGTTTTGGTTATTGTTGTCTGCATGGCTTGCTTTGTGATGTCCGATATCTAACCCATTCCCTCTGACTGTGATATCTGTGCAGATGCGTCAGGGGGCATTTTTGGTGAACACGGCGCGAGGGGGCCTGGTGGATGAGAAGGCCCTGTCCCAGGCACTGAAAGAGGGCAGGATACGGGGTGCTGCCTTGGACGTACACGAGACGGAGCCCTTCAGGTCAGCTTCCTCCCAGCTCAGCCATTTTAAGACTTGAAAACAATAACTGTTTTAAAAGTTGTGTTTCTCTGTATAAACGCCACCTTGCACACTCTCTTAAATCTGTTTTATCTCTCCAGCTTCTCTCAGGGCCCACTGAAGGACGCTCCTAATCTGATTTGCACCCCCCACACATCATGGTACAGTGAGCAGGCGTCCCTTGAGGCGAGGGAGGAGGCAGCTAGAGAAGTGCGCCGGGCCATCACAGGTATTCAGTTATGCAAGCCTCTGTGTATGACAGAATATTTATAGGCACAAATACACTAGGGTACAATGATAGGTGTCCATTTCAGCGCAGAGTGAACAACCGTCTAGCCATGTGATAATTGGCACAGTAGCCTTTACCATTTAGTGATACAGTGGGGAAAAAAAGTATTTAGTCAGCCACCAATTGTGCAAGTTCTCCCACTTAAAAAGATGAGAGAGGCCTGTAATTTTCATCATAGGTACACGTCAAGTATGACAGACAAATTGAGGGAAAACAATCCAGAAAATCACATTGTAGGATTTTTTATGAATTTAGTTGCAAATTATGGTGGAAAATAAGTATTTGGTCACCTACAAACAAGCAAGATTTCTGGCTCTCACAGACCTGTAACTTCTTCTTTAAGAGGCTCCTCTGTCCTCCACTCGTTACCTGTATTAATGGCAACTGTTTGAACTTGTTATCAGTATAAAAGACACCTGTCCACAACCTCAAACAGTCACACTCCAAACTCCACTATGGCCAAGACCAAAGAGCTGTCAAAGGACACCAGAAACAAAATTGTAGACCTGCACCAGGCTGGGAAGACTGAATCTGCAATAGGTAAGCAGCTTGGTTTGAAGAAATCAACTGTGGGAGCAATTATTAGGAAATGGAAGACATACAAGACCACTTATAATCTCCCTCAATCTGGGGCTCCACGCAAGATCTCACCCCGTGGGGTCAAAATGATCACAAGAACGGTGAGCAAAAATCCCAGAACCACACGGGGGGACCTAGTGAATGACCTGCAGAGAGCTGGGACCAAAGTAACAAAGCCTACCATCTGTAACACACTACGCCGCCAGGGACTCAAATCCTGCAGTGCCAGACGTGTCCCCCTGCTTAAGCCAGTACATGTCCAGGCCCGTCTGAAGTTTGCTAGAGTGCATTTGGATGATCCAGAAGAGGATTGGGAGAATGTCATATGGTCAGATGAAACCAAAATAGAACATTTTGGTAAAAACTCAACTCGTCGTGTTTGGAGGACAAAGAATGCTGAGTTGCATCCAAAGAACACCATACCTACTGTGACGCATGGGGGTGGAAACATCATGCTTTGGGGCTGTTTTTCTGCAAAGGGACCAGGACGACTGATCCGTGTAAAGGAAAGAATGAATGGGGCCATGTATCGTGAGATTTTGAGTGAAAACCTCCTTCCATCAGCAAGGGCATTGAAGATGAAACGTGGCTGGGTCTTTCAGCATGACAATGATCCCAAACACACCGCCCGGGCAACGAAGGAGTGGCTTCGTAAGAACCATTTCAAGGTCCTGGAGTGGCCTAGCCAGTCTCCAGATCTCAACCCCATAGAAAATCTTTGGAGGGAGTTGAAAGTCTGTGTTGCCCAGCGACAGCCCCAAAACATCACTGCTCTAGAGGAGATCTGCATGGAGGAATGGGCCAAAATACCAGCAACAGTGTGTGAAAACCTTGTGAAGACTTACAGAAAACGTTTGACCTGTGTCATTGCCAACAAAGGGTATATAACAAAGTATTGAGAAACTTTTGTTATTGACCAAATACTTATTTTCCACCATAATTTGCAAATAAATTCATAAAAAATCCTACAATGTGATTTTCTGGATTTTGTTTTCGCATTTTATCTGTCATAGTTGACGTGTACCTATGATGAAAATTACAGGCCTCTCTCATCTTTTTAAGTGGGAGAACTTGCACAATTGGTGGCTGACTAAATACTTTTTTTCCCCACTGTATATAGTTTGTATTACAGCCCATACGTTATTTTGTAAACTGTTTTGCAGTCAATCCCAAATAACCTTATCAAGAGTTGTCATTGATCATTTGATCAGTTAGCTTGACTGTTGTGATGGTTTTCCCGACAGGCCGCATCCCTGACAGTCTGAAGAACTGTGTGAACAAGGAGTATCTGATGGCAACGCCCCAGTGGCCTGGCATGGACCATGGGGCCGTGCACTCAGAACTCAACGGAGCTTCTGCTTACAGGTAGGACTTTATTAAAACTGTTAAGAGGGCCAGTAAGCACATGTAGGTAATACACAAGTTAGAGTAAAGACAACTCCAGGTATTGATTTAAATCTGGCTTGTGTTCTATGAACCTAGAAAGCTATTCTAATTCTTGTGACTCAACCCCTCATCAACAGGTTCCCTACTGGTCTAGTGGGAGTGACAGCAGGAGGCCTGACAGGGGCAGGCGCTGCAGTGGAGGGAATTGTTGCAGGGAACCTGGCTATGGCACATGGGATTGCCCCCGTGTCTCGACCCCCCCACACCCCATCGCCGGGGCAACCCTCTAAAGCAGAAACAGACAGAGACATGCCAACGGACCAGTAGCACCCCCACCCCACCCCCAACTGTCCCCCAATCCCCCTCTCGTCCACAACATTCCGTCGTCACCCTTCATGTTCATTCAAGCTGATAGACACTGGTATTGAGGTCCATTCTGACCCGGCTTTGGTCCCGTCCTACGGAACAGAATCCTTCAGGAGGGACCAGTCTGCATCGACTCCCTCCACACATCCTATTTTCTCTCATCCAGAAAGCAATAAGTGGATTACTCAAGGATTTTTTTTCCAGTTTGCTTTTAAACCCCTCTGTGTCTGACGTTCATGTGGTTTTGTAAATTAGTCCTTTGTGGAGAACTGTTAATATTTTTCCTGTGTTTTTTGGTTTTGTTATCTCTATTGCTGTTTGACATGCTGTAAAGTGAGGCATAAGTCTGGAACGGTATTGAAGATAAATTTCTTTTTTTCCCACTACTATTTGTTCACAAAGATTACAAAGGATTTTCTAATGTCGGACTCTACATTTAGTCATCACAATAAAAGTGTGGCTCTGACTTTTTGAGCTTTTTGACATGAATTGAATAATATCACATTATATGCCTCTGCTGATAAAGCACAGAACTATGTACAGTATATTTCTGTGTCAAGACCACCACCTACACTAGTTATTTTCTCTGTTGCTCTTATATAACCTTTTTTTTTTTTTTTTCTTGATTAAATGTGTAGATCCTCTTCACATCATTGTGGTTGCCAAGACGAGGGTGACGGCGGTCTTCTTACCTTCCTATTTCCAATTTATGTTACCTTTGCATATGAATAGATCATGAAAACAATATCTTTGCCAAGTCCTCAAATTATCTATCCTCTTTAGGTACTATAGTATCACCATTGTCCCCCCCCCCCCCCCCCCCCCCCCAACAGTGTTCGCTGGCATTGACACCCATTTTAGGGGTTCATCTTGTGTTATTACTTCAGGCATTGAAACTTATTTTCCCCATATGGATTCCACAGTGGCTGTCGATCTCAAATAGACTAGACTAATCAGTCTTCAAGGCGTTTTTGTATGTCACTCTTAAAGGGACATTTCTAAAATGTTCATCTTCATATTCATCTCCAGCACCACCCCAACATCAACATATGAGAAAATTGCGCTTTTCTATGATCTGTAGTAAAAAAGAGCAGAAGATGTATTTCCATTTTTTTATTTTATTTCACCTTTATTTAATCAGGTAAACCAGTTGAGAACAAGTTCTCATTTACAACTGACATCATTGGTGTGCATCGTGTGATTTTAACCAATTATTATACTTTTTTGGAACCTTTATTTAACTAGGCAAGTCAGTTAAGAACAAATTCTTATTTACAATGACGGCCTACACCGGCCAAACCCGGACAACGCTGGGCCAATTGTGCGCCACCCTATGGGACTCCCGATCACGGCCGGTTGTGACACAGCCTGGAATCGAACCAGGGTCTGTAGTGACGCCGCTAGCACTGAGATGCAGTGCCTTAGACCGCTGCACCTCTCGGGAGCCCTATTATGAGAAGCATTGCCTACTAATTGGTTGATTATGTTATTGGAAACTCTTATTTTCTTCTTTTTTTACTACAAAACATAGAAAAGTGCTATTTTCACATGTTGAGGTGCTGCTGCTGATGATGAATATGAAGTTCATTTTTTTTTAAATTTCCCTTTAAAACACATTTTTCGCTCAAATTTGCAAAGATTAAAGCATCCTAGCAAAACATGGTCACAACCATATACATATTTCTAAGGCGGTAGGAGCCCAGTTGATGTTGGTTCATTACAAGGCCCTGACCACATCTGGAACACACTATTCTGGTTGTTTTTAGCTCTGAGTGAACCTGGGGCTCACTGCTGTGTGGTGATGTGTGTTTGCATCTGTGGCTTGGTCACAGGGGTGTTCACAACCATATTCAGAACATTTGAAGACTGGAGGACAGCGGTTCATTACTACTACATGAATTAGAAAATGATTAGATGTGGCTTAATTTCTTAATCTGACAGAATTTATGTTTGGCACTGACCTGTGGATGTAGACCAGTGAATCCCTGGCAGGGATGTCCAATCTGTTTACTGACTGTCAAGGTAAGAATAAGAACAGATTAGGTGGGAAATCGAGTAAACTTTTGGTTGTGTATTTAGCATAGCAGTCTGATGTGGATAAGGTAGTCCCTATGTTGTATAAAGTCAGAGATTAAAAATATGCTAGTGGCAAAGCCTTAACACCCCACAGTCATTGAAAATCAAGGGAGTTTATGGATATCACACTGAGCCAGGCACAGCTTCAGAGTTGTGTAAGTGTGTCACTGGAGAGAGAATGTGTGTGAGGAGCGCAGGCTATTCAAACGCAGGCAATTCAGCCTAAAGTGGGCAGCCTCCTATAATGCCTACTTGTAATCGGGTCATTTACAACCGGAAAAGCACTGGAACGGAGTTCTGCCGTCTTTGGCCACCATGAGTTACAGAATTTCAAATCAACCCCTGCTCATTATGGTACACTCTGGCCAGGTATAGGGAAATACCTTAGTTGACCTCCATGCTTTGTCGTTTTTAAGTTGTCTGGTGGTATGTCTTGCTCCTTAAGGGAATTAATTAGTCATTAGAATTCAAAACATTTTATAGAGATGAGATTGTTACTTGCTTTGATGGAACTATAACACAATAAATAGTTGTCCTTGCCTGTTTCATCAATCAAGTTTTATCATTGAGATTACTTGTCTTATTGAGAGATATCATCTTTAGAATTGGAATCAATGTGGTTAAAATGTGATGTGATTATGCCTGGATAATTTACATTACAACGTACACAAATGTCATTGTGTGCATTAGGCTATTTTATTTCACGTTTAGATGTCATCTCCATCAGACTGCAAAATGAGAAAAACCCAATACATTTGTAACTAGGATTTATTCTGAACTTTTTAAATAGAAACACTTATTTGTGATGTTAGCTTCTACAATAAAGTATTTTAATAAAAAATCCTGTTGCTCCGAAATGTTACAGGCATGGCAATGTATTTTCGTCAGTCTGATTTTATGATTTATTTTCTTTGGTTTGGTCTCAGATGATTCATTCACAATGGTAAAAGCTTCACATGCAATAATTCAAGTTGTTGTGTATCTGGTGTGTATGCATTTGAAAAGCTGTCGCAGCCATCCTGCACAGTGCACCTGCGGATTTCAAAAAGCCTTACTCGCGCGCTCAAACGCTTGCTTGAAATAATAGCGAGGAGTGCATCACCAACGGATATTTTTCGGAAACGTTACGGTTTCCCTCACATCTCATAGCCAATTCGCTAGCTACACTTACCCTATTTTTTTCAGATAAACATTGAAAAGGCGGTATTTATAGATCCACTGAAGATACAAAAGAAAATGTCTTGAATTCAACATCTGGTACGTTTTTATGATGACGATAAATTAAATTAGCTAAAGCTAGCTAGCTAAATTAGCTAACTTGCTAATGTTAGTAAAACAGATGGATAAATCCTGGTTTTCTGGTTGATTTTTTTACAGATACCATACCAACCGTCCCTTGACAATGGGTTTCGAGGAAATGTACAATATCAAGGAGGAATGCCCGACAACCGTTTTGAAAAAGAGTGCGGTCACCATAATTTCTCCGAAACAGAACATTGTACGAATATGGAATTTATTCATCGCCCTAACATCGTTGGTGGCTGCGACAGTGTCTTTATTTGAGGTAGGCTAACGTTAGCTATGTTCTTCCTTGTAAAATATTGATGTAGCTATGTTATGCAGCACTACTGTTATATTAGATCACTCCAATATGGTATCCTTCCGCGCGGCAGGACACATTCAGAGTGAGTAAGGATTTCAGATCAGTGCTGAGGCTGACCCCCTTAAATACTTCCACCTCTTCATTTTCTCGGCTCATTCCAGAAAGGATTTGCTTAGTAAGAACACTTTGGGTGTGTTCGTAAATTCAATCTGGAGTGCCAGAGCGTGCTCTGGGCGTTTGTAAATTCAGAGCGTTGTCAGATTGTCCGTTCGTAAATTTAAGCGTTCAGAGCGCACACTGGACGCTCTGGCGGAGGAGTAGGGTTGATCCGAGCGGTCTAACCACACAATGGCACCCAAGCTAACTGGCTAACGTTGGCTAGCTTGCTAGCTACTTCCAAACACAAATGAGAGAACACCTCACTCTGACCATTTTACTCGCCCTAACAGAGGCTGTTTTCATGTTATCCAGAGCGTTGGTGACTGTGCTGCTGGCAACAATTTAATTACGCTTTTTCGCAGACGTTTAATGACACAGGCAATATTCAACTGGTGTTGAGCGTTCGTAAATTAATCAGTTAGCTGCTCCAAGCTATTCTCAGACGAGAGTGTTCTGAAATCGGAGTAGATAGCCAGAGCGAATTTACGAACGCACCCTATGTTAGTGTATAAACGCAGAATTATACCCGCAGCTATTCAGTAGCTTGGAGCAGCTAACGTTAGCTAGCTAGCCTCTCCATCTGGGTGCTCTGCTTTCCCCCACTCGGTTTGGCTTGTGGCAGCTATCTCGTTTGGGTTTTGTCCCTGTTTTTATTACTTGTGACAGTGTACCAACCTGGGCGATACTCTGTTTGGTCGAGCAGTATTGCGGCGCTGAGGGGTTGTCTGTGTGACTTGTTGTCCACGGGAACCCTCCCCGTTTTAGCCTTCGGGTTCGGAGACCACGCCTACACCGCAAGATCGGGAGACTATGTTTCGCTCCGGCGGACTTGCAGTTCTCCCCTGAGAGTCTTACACAGTGTGTAGCTGGGGTTACTAGTTTTCTGTTGTTTTCTAGTTTCCCCTGGAAACTCCCATTACAGCTCTATTGCACAGCTGTTTTCACACATTGTGTAGCTGGGTTTACGATAGTTTTCTGTTGCACTAGTTACTGTTTTGCTGTGAAATAGCTTACATTTACATTACATTTTAGTCATTTAGCAGACGCTCTTAACCAGAGCGACTTACAGGAGCAATTAGGGTTAAGTGCCTTGCTCAAGGGCACATTGACGTCATTTAGCAGA